TTGGCTTTTCCGCTGCTTCGGCGCAGTGCCACTTCTGCCGTCAGCACAGAACTGCAGTGCCTTTCTTCTGTCCTCCATCACACACAGCCCTGCATGCAGCCCTGCTTAGAGGCAGTACCCACACCACAGCTCACAGCAGCTCCTTACCTGCGGAGGCTTTCTGTTTCCCCCCAGGCCCAGCACCATCCCACAGACGCGCAGGCTCCGTCCCTGCAACAACAGATGGAGCGTGATTTCACAGACACCAGGAGCAGCACTGTGCCGTTAGCCCACGTCCACCCCCGAAAACCAAAAGACAAACCAAAACAGAAACTGATGCTTACACAAAGCATTACTGCTCTCATTCCTGCTCAGATGGCAGCAGAGCAACCCCGGTCTGCCTGACAGCTCTGCATTCTGCAGAGCAAAGGTGCACCAGCAAACAAAATGCTGTCAGGGGCAAAAGCTGAGGAAGGTATTTTTTGGCCCTAGAAGGAATTCACTCAGTTCCCAGCACCATCATGTACACACAGACATCTCTCTGACTGCTGCCATCCACTGCCACTGTTGGCATCTTTAACGCTTCCACCATGGTTCCTTGACATCCCTACAGCACTGCACCCGCTCAGCAGTAAGACTTAAAATGCATTCTTCCATCCGTCATGGCAGAGGACTGCAGAAACTCACTTTTGCGTGGCAGTGAGGACGGCCCGTCCCCATCGCGTCCCTCTGTGTGCTGCCAGGCGCTGCCAGATCTCTGGCAGCCTGCTGGCTGCTGCTCCCAAACGCGGGGAACCGCGCCGCGCTGCTTCTGAGGAGGGAAAGGAAGAAACTTTGGAGGGAACGGGCAGCCAAGGTTTGCAGAGAGGTTCCAGGCTGTGCTGGAGATGGGATAGCAGAGTGCTGGGACGTTATTTATCGCTAAGGGAAAATAGGGCCTGAGCCGTGTCCACGCCATCAGCCCAGGCTGTCAGCAGGGAGCACAGAACCCAACTGGTTACTGAGGTCACAAAGGACCTGCAGGGCTCCCCCTGCTTGGCCCCTTCCCTTAAAAATGAGAAAAAGGAAGAAGAGCCAAGCAAAAGAAACCCAGCTGTACCTTTCTTGTCACACACTCCATGTCTCCTTGCTGAGACATGACTGCTGTCTCAGAGGAAGCTGAAGAGAGAGCTTTCTCTCTCCGCAGGAACTTCCCTCGCTCCTGGAAAGACCTGGCTCCACTCTTCCTGAGACTGCCTCAATCTCTGAAACTCCGTTTGGACAGGAGCCCTGCAGAAATTATCAAGTGAAACATCATGAGGAAGAAGCATTTTCCCAGCTTCTGCCATGCGATTTGGTCCCTTGAGGAGGACAATGTCTAGAAATCAGCTGGCTGCAAGAGCTGCTTAGTGCCAGCTCCAGCTCGTGCCTGACTGCCACGGCTGGTGCCAGCAGGTGCTCTTCTCCATCTCCTCAGTAGCTCTGCACCCAGCCATCCGTGGGGCACGAGGCACAAGTTGCACCGTGCAGCCTGCACTCTCCTTCCTTTTTAATGTCTGACATGAAGGCGGGGGCCCAGCAGTGGATTTCCAAGGGAGTAATGACATTTCATCGTCCTCATCGAATCGTGGGAGGGAATCTCAACCAGAACCCATCTCCCCTGGACACAGCCGTGCTGAGGGGCACCGCTGGAGCTGGGAACTCCTGCCCAGCCCCGCTTTCTGCTGAGACACCTCCCGGCACCCACCCAGCACCAACCCAGCTCACCTGCTCACTGCTCACCCTGAGCCGTGCCCAGCTCATGCACACGCCGCAGCGCTGCTTCCAGTGGGCTCTCACAGCTGATCTCTCTCAAGAAGGGCTCACAGCTCAGTCTGCGTGCAGCACGCTTGCCACAGCCCCAGCTCTGCTCCCAGCTGTGCCACAAACGCTCCCAGACCGGGAACCACTGTGACCTCAGCGACGGCCCGCATGGCTTCTGTGCCTTCATCATAAGGGAAGGAGACGGATGCCTCCCAGATCCAAATGGCAGGAAACCAACACCAGGTCACCCAGTGGGGCTCTGTGACGTGAGATAACAGAGGAGTGGGGATGACTCTTGTGCGTGCAGCCCAATAAAAACCAGTGAAGACCAATATGGCCTCGTCGTGGTCAACGGAGCCCCAGGGGAACCAGTAGAAGCAATAGTGCACATCTGTGTGCCCAGGGCCGGTGTTGGCCTCTGCCTGTGGCTTTGGGCCCCAGGGCCGGTGCTGGTCTGTCTGTCTGGGGCTTCAGGCCCTGTGTCCAGGGCCAGCCTCTCTGGCTGTGGCTTTAGGCCCCGGGGCCGCTGTCAGCATCCTTGGCTGTGCCTTCAGGCCCTGGGCTCTCTGTGGTTTCAGGCCCCACAGCTGGTGCCGGCCTCTCTGTGGCTTTAGGCTGCAGGACCCTTCCAGCCTCGCAGGCTGTGGCTGTGTCTTTCCACCTGTGCTGGCCTCAGGGCTGAGGCTGTGCCTTCAGGCCCTGGGGCCGGTGCCGGTCTCTGGCTGTTTTTAGGCCCAGCGCTGGTGCTGGCCTCTCAAGCTGTGGCTTTAGGCACTAAAGCTTGTGCCAGCCTATAACAGCATGCACTTTAAAATAGTTCATGTAAGTAAATGAAAGCAGGAGAATGCTGAGCTCTTCTGGGTGTTTCTAGAATTGGGACACAGACAGGAGAGCTCAGCCGTGTGCGCTTGGTTGTATGCAGCAATCTCTACCACATTTGCAAACGTCGATAAATCCTTGTTATCCTGCTTTACAGGAGTAGGGTGTGACAAGAAACCAATGACTACCAGTTTACAGGAGGTAATGAATTTAAAGTTTCCCTTCTTCTTCCCTTGGCACTTAGCTTACAGAGTTCTCCTGTGCCGGGTGCTGGTGTCATACCTCTAAGCCACAATATTGATGGGCTCAGCTGCCACCAACTGGTAGCTACCTTGTGTGTGAAACGAGGAAAAAACGCCATTCTGAACCCACAGCACCTCAAAGCCCCTTCAAGAGCCCCCAGTACTGCCCTGAGCCCTCCAGTTTTCCCCGCTGCCCCTTCAAAGCCTCAGGAGTGCCAGCAGCACCTCGTGCCTTAGGATGCCCGGTGGATTTCACAAGGATGCTCCCATCTCCTGCATTGTGATCAGTGGCAAAAGTATCCAACGGCGCTGACCGGAGCTGGGGGCTCAGCGGTGACATACAGGGAAACCTGCTGTGCTGCAGCGTGAGCCTCCGGTCCCGCTGCTGG